TGTTTTAGTACTTATAAGGACTGTTCTGATTGATAAAGCTGAAATCAGCTACAACAGATATATTTATTTTCTATCTCATTATGCTAATTCTCAATTTTCCATTACTACTCCCGTAGTTGATTACACCGTACCTTTGTATTTCAGCAATTTTCATCCAAATGTTAATATTTATATCCACCTTAGGTACACACCAGGAATATTGTACAGTCTTCTTTTATCCAATTTTACAATAGAGTAAAAATAATCATTCTTACCCCAGCAATACCTCATGGAATAGACTGATTGAGAGTTACTCTCAACTGCTTCTGTTCTACATCATTTTAAAACTCCCATCTGGCCACACAAAATGAGAAGAAAAAGCAAATATTGTTTGAAAGGTTTCCCAGTTACCTGATAAGATATTTGAATCACCTCCTCCAAAGTGACTATGGAAACCTGCTGTGAAAGCAGCTTTCAGATTATTTTGTCAGAAAGAAGATTGTAGCAAACTTCTGCCCCTATTAAGGGACAGATCCGCTGTCCTTGCTTGTGCCTGGAGCTCCAGCAGCGTCTCTGCAGACACCTTTTTCTCCTGCTCATCACGTGAGAGGCAGTTCCCATCAATGCCAAGCTTTGAAATTGAAACCTTACTTGTAAAAGCAGTTAATTGGCTGAATTTCTTGCTTCCTGTTTCCTATTTTGTGAAACAAAGAAGTTCTTGCATATATTGCAATTAACACACTGATTTTTGTTTTAGACTGAGTGCCACCATGCTTAAGTGTTCATAATTGTACCTTCTGAGGTATTTTTTTGGAGAAGAATTTTATCCAAAAGTTGAATCTGTCCCATGATGTACATAGCTTCTCCCCACTCAAAACTCCCCTTCCTATGATACCCTTTGAGCGTACGGAAGTCTGCAGAAAAAGCCTTTCCTCCAGAAAACCTGCATCCTAAGAAATCACTGGCTCACTCTTGGGGTTGCTTATCAGAACCAGGTAGTGCCTGCGGTCACCTCCTGCAGCTGGAAATGGGAGCTCCACACTGAGCTCTCATCATATATTTGAGCCAATGAATATTTGATTATATGCCGTAAGCAAATTTATTTGCTAGGAAATACTGCACTTTTTCAGAGTATTCAAATAACCAGCATCTTGAGAGGGTGCAAATCCCTGCTCACTGAGTGTTACCCTCTAAGTCAATATGTGGGAACAATGAAATGGGGATACAGCTTTGCTTCCATCCCACAAGGGAATGGCACTATTTCCCTCTCAAGGAATAGAGCAGAACCAGGGAAGTAAGGCAGAAAATATGTTATACTAAACCTAAACTCTTTAAAATTTAATGGTTCCAGCACTTCCAAATTACTCGTGTTTAGCTATAATGGTAGATTATAATTTCTGCCATTGGCTATAACTTTTTGTAACACAGAATTACTTTAATTTCAGTAATGAAAACCAGCTACATGGGTATAAAAACATATAGTAAATAGCTCTATGGCTTCCTTGAATGCTAGCAAAGCATTCACGCTGGTCTTCCTAAAGGGCCTGCTCCACCTATGTAGCAAATCTAAGTCAGTAAATCACCTCTCTAGCTTGTAAGTGACACCTCTTTGAATTCATGCAACTGTAAGGGCTTGTTTAGTTTAGTTTTTAGTATCGGCTTTGCCATGGAGTGACCGCTGGGCAGGAAAAAGCGCTTTATTTGCAGTGTGTTGTGTTGCTCGCAGGGGCACTGTGCCATCTAGCGGGTGCTAGTCTAGCCTGGCCCGCTTGCCTCCTGCCCTGCTTGCTCCTTTGGCATGGCCAGAGGATGTAAATCTTGAAGAATTCCTCATCTGAAACTCTTGCCTTCTCTGGCAGTTTTGCAAAACTATTAAATAGAAATAAAATTGAAAAATTCTAGTTAAGGGTTGTCATTTGGGTTAGAATTCTCAGGGCTGGTTCTTAATTCTGGTATATTTTCACTGAAATCAAAGTTGCCTGTGCAGCTGACTTATTTATTTCTCCCGTAGATAAAAGCAGACTCGCAGCCTTTAAGTAAAGGCAGCCCTGTCCTCATTGTCTGTGCAGAGCAGCTCCCAGCAAGCATAGTCCTGTGTCTGGACTTTTTGTCACCATTCTGTGTGTGGCTCTGTACTGAAAGTCTCCCGAAAAAAGAGCTGATAATTGTATTCAGAGATAGGCCTGTGGTAGTCATCATTCTATGATTATTGCAATGCTTCAGATGTATTAATTCAGCTTCACAATTATGTAGTCTCTCCAAGATGGAAAGTTATTTTACAGGAAATTTTACAGGAACCGAAGAAAATATCCACACTAAAATGTTTACATTTTTTTTTTCTTCAGAGTACCAAGTCCTGGAGGACTTTGTCCTATCAGGATGTGAGTTGCTGGCCTAACTCCAAAAAATGACTTGATTCATTAATTTAACATCACTATCCTTCAGCTACTGATGTCCAGCATTGTATCATATGCAACATATGTAACATGCAATCTTGCTGTTCTCTCTCCTCCTTAAACACAAGTGTGATTCACAACTACTTTGACCAGCTGTTGACATCGTTGATGAAATTAGAGGGAATTGGTACCTATCACTGTGATGGGACCTGTGAACTGTTCGAAATCACAGGCTCAAAACCCCTCACAGAATCTTAGCACTTGAACCACTCTCCTTGTTGGGAAAACGTGGGAGAATATGCAGTGCTAGAGTGCAGCTCCCATTCCACTTGCATGTGCAAAGATAACAAAGAAAGGAAAATCAACACTGTGTGAATGTGCAGGGAAAAAAAACATATATACTTCATTGATGTGCCCAGAATAAAGGTTTGGCCTATAGTCTTCTTCTATCTAGACTCTTAAATTTTCTTTCCAGAAAAAGAGAGGATAAGGACAGGAGAGAATGCAGATTGACATCCTGTATGTAAGTCATGAGTCAAGAACATGTGTTTAGGCCTGTTAAAGGTTGGGAAATGTTCCTGGATCCCACAGTAAAAGTCTACCTTACTTGTTGCCTGCTAATTCTACTGAAATCATTCTTGATGCTTAAAAGAAAACATCCAGGAAAAGGTTGATATAAATAAATTTTGCTTTATATGAGCTTCACATAAAGAAAATAAATATGAGTTTCACATAAAGAAAAATGTGACTTTCAAAAAATGTGTAGAGAGAGGTCACTTGGTAATAATATGGAAGGGCTTGTCTTCATATTTTAAGAATGTTCTTTTTGGAAGTTGTTTTAGGATTAGGCACTCATCTGAGAAAAACTTTAGCTTTAAGCACAGAAAGTAGAAATAAGTCACCTACTTCACTTGTCTGAAGTTAGTCCCAATTGGCAGTCTTTTTCCCAGTCCACTGGGATCGTTTTAAGCACAATGGAATCAAGGCATTAGAGGGATCATTGTATTTAGTTTCATCATAACAAAAAACATGTGATGGTCTTGGAGTTGGGCAGCTCATACAAGGGAAAGAACTAGAAAAAAAAATTGAAGATAAAACAATAATATTAAAGAAAAACATGTGACATTTAAAAACTGATTTACCATAAAATAAATCCCTCAGACTTCCATCCTCTGAGACTTATTAGATTAAATTGAATTGCATTGGAGTCTGTATCCTAATTATCCTACAGTAAATTTAATGTTAGCAGCCAAGACTAAAACTAACCATCTTGTTCATTTTGTCCAGTGCTTTGCTATGACAGACAATCTCATTGAATTAAATGGAAATATATTCCATTTAATAAACCTATGGAGTATCACTGTGAGACTTACTGCAGAGTTGTTCCCTTTGTAGTTCTGAAGAGGGTCAGTCTTCTCGTATAGAGTTTTTGTTCATGAGAAATTTACTTTCTTTTGCTCCTAAGCCAAACCCAGTCTTTTGGCATATAGCAATTATATTACTCTCTCCACGACCTACATTCCTCCACTTAATGCTTGTAGTGTTTTTCTGTTCCTATTAAGTTGCATTTCATCTATCACAAGCAAAGGTGACCGAAATGATAGAGAGTATTATTGTCTTTATGTCTAGATATCAAGAGCTGCTGATAGAGACAAGAAAAGCGCAACCTGATATCTCATACAACTTTTTATTCAAGCTATGTATAACAATTACATTTATTTCATACTATTACTCTGAAGTGAAAATGCTCAGTTTCAGATCTGACTCTAGTGCATTTAATGTAGAAGTAAATAATTCAGTCAGTTTTCCTAAAACTATAATTAGTTGATGAGTCAGACCAGAATCTAATTTCGCTAAATGTTAAGACTGGAAGGATGGGATTATCGTGATCAGGAGTCTGCTCTGGGGCTATGTCATGTCTTAGGATTTTGCCTTCTACTTCTTGCATCAGTTTGTAATTAAACCAGAATGGTATTTGGGCAAGATTGAAAAAAGGGCCCAAACCACATTCCTGCAACTTACTGAATATTATTTCATGCAACAAAAATGAAATGTGCCCCCCACAGCTATGGATGCTTCTGGTGATTCATCATTTTGATTTTAAAAATCAAAGTCATTTGTCATTTAATCATGGGTTGGTTTCTAATAACTCAGTGCATATTTTTAGAGCAGTATGCTTAACTGGACCACAAAAAATCTTTTTTTTATAGGTGGTACAACTTATTGCTATCTTTGGGAATCTAAGTCTTACTAAGAGCCTTACTAAGAGTGTTAGCTGTATGAGAATAGTAAAGGAAGTAGTTGGGATAAAATGAAAAGGTATAAACCAATCAAACTCCAAATTCCAATAAAAGCTGCTATGATAGAAGGGACTGAAAAGTAAAAATGAACACCGTATAGAGCAAAAGATCAATATTTTATTGACTGGAAAATAGAGTGCTATATACTTGTTAGTCAGTCATTACCCATATTGATTTTTATGCCGCTGTTGTTCAGCTCTGGCTTAGCTATGCTCACATGTTCTTGCTTTTTTTTTTTTTTTTTTTTTTTTTTTCCCCAACTTTTCTACTTAATATGATGGCTGTCTTTATTACAAATAAAGCCTGCTCACATTTGCAAAATAACTCCATGCTCTTACTATCAGAGTCTAAAGAGAGTGTGTGACCTTAAGACATGCAAGATTAAAAATAGTGCTAAGTGATGCATAATCTGCACTGTCCACAGTGACTTGCTATAAGTGCAAAAAGTTTGGAGCAAGAAAGTAGAAAAATGCTGGTAACTCTGCTCTAGGTGATCTTTAGTAATAGCTCTTGGGCTCCAAAGCTCAGCAAGCAGCAGATATAATCCTCTCAAAGCCAATTGCCTGGAAACTGAGAGCTTATTATACTATTACAAGTGAGGACCGCCTAGCTTGCAGTGACAATATTACAAATTTGTGACATAATACTGCCAAATGAATATGTCACATGACAAAAGGAATCGCATATTGACTCTAAGGTGCATGTAACCTGCTGTAGATAAGCACATATTTATGAGAAATGCAATAAAGTGCGAGTCAAAGACATAACGGTATGGAAATGGTAAGGTCATTAACAGTGGCTGGCAAATGGGTTTTGAGGGAAGAGAAGCTAAAAGGTTAAATGGACCAGAGTGAAATATCTCTTGCTTCTCCTTATAAGAAAGTATTTTTAGCAGATATTGAATGTCTAGTGAAGACAATGGAGACTGGGTCTTGAGGCCTATCAGCTGAGGGAAACTCCATATTAGCTCTATTCAATTGCAGCTGACACCTCTCACAGTGGATCCCAGTATGGCTTTATATACTGACATTCAAAAATAGTTATGCCTTGAGGAAAATTTAAGTAGAGCCAAGCAATTTTGGAAAAGGAACTGTCAGTCTTTTGGATCTAGGACTAGAGTCGAGCAAACATTTTTTTTTTTCTGAAGAACGATCTTCACACGTGCCTGGCTTTTTCCACCAAAAATCTGCATTCATGGAGTAGTGCTAATGCCTTGTCACCAGTCCTGTGCCTTATAGACTTTTCATATTCCTTCTTGGTTCATGGGAGATTAAATGGAAGATTTTTAAGCTTCTAACAGCAGAGTGCAGTGTGTTACAAGGAGAAGCATACTGCAGTTAGATTTAAAATATTTCCTTTTTTTTTTTTTTATGGTTTTCTTAGACAGTATGGAATTTCTTAAGTCTTTTTTAATAAGCAGCTGAAAATGATGATAGAATTAAACCGCTTTTTGGAAAGTTACTTGAATGACTAAATAACTGTTATGCATTTTAGCTAATTTTCTTACTGCACAGTAATGAAGTATATGGTTATAGAGAGAGAACAAATTATCTGTATATCTCTCGGTAGAACTATGTAGCAGAGCTACATTTGTGGCAAATGACATCATTCCCCTGTGTGAGGAATCCTAAGTCTGCCAGTGGGACACAGCATTTTGCGCAGTTAAAGCATTCCTCATGCCACTGGCGCTCTTCAAATGAGACAAATTTGGCACTTCCGAGAGCTGAAAGAGAAATGAGAAAGAAGATGTGAATCCAGTATTTCTGGATGTGGTTTAAAAAAGAAACAGATTGTGTTCAAATGCGTGGTCATATTGGAATTCATATAGGAAGCAAGCAAACAAAAATCTACAGGTTAAAATATCCTTAATAGTTAAAATTTAAGATAGTGAGAAGCATTTTAAATAAACTCACAATTCATTTGTGTGATCATATCATTTTCATACCCCATTATGAATTCTGAACAGAGCAGGTTTAACAGAATGATCATTAAGATATACAGATCTCCCAATAAACTCTCACGAGTCATTTGACATGTGTCATTACATATAGTTTCTACACAGCACTGAGTGAAATTTCACTGTTTCTGCTAAGTTTCTTCAAGGTGGGGGATTTGGAAAATTACCAGATTATGGAATTCCTAATATCTGAAAGAAACCATTGCTTTTTAAAGTATTTTGGTAAAATCATGCATTCATCATTATCTTGTCTTTAGGACTAGAGGAAACAGCCACAAACTGAGGCACCAAAAGTTCCACAGGAATTTAAGGAAACACTTCTTGACAGTTGGTCACTTCTTGACACTTCTTAACTTCTTGACAGAGGTTGTGGAGTCTCCTTCTTTGGAGATCTTTAAAACATGCTTGGATGCAGCCCTGTGCCATGGGCTCTAGGTGACCCTTCATGAGCAGGAGGGTTGGACTAGATGACCTCTGAGGTCCCTTCCAACCTTAAGCATTCTATGATTCTATGATCGTCAATCTCTCCAATTTGATATAGGTGCTTTGTCAACAGGCAGCTAATCCAATTCACTTCCACCTCCAGTCTTATCACTTTTACATTTAAAAACACAACCAAACCAACTACACATACAAGATCTGTACTTTTCAGAAAGGAGCCAAGAATGCCCTCTCTTATGTATTTTAGGGATAATTTTAGTGTAATCTGAAGGCCTTCCACTTTAAAAATGTACAAGACAGTAAAACAAATCATGGCAAAAATCCTTTCAGTACATAATTCCTCAGTAGTGACGAGATTCATGTGATGTTCTAGCAAGACTTGTTACATGGGATCTCTCTAATAGTTAACTCCTTCAGTCTTTCATGATGATGGAACTGTTTCTCAGGCTGTTTTCTGAAGTAAAGACCTGGTTTAACTCATGACAGCTCAGTGTTTGGCCCACTATAAAAGGTAACTCTCACCTGTAATAGGTCTCCTGCAAGCTGCACACTTCTTTGCATATAATTTGCCGAAACAATCTTCACAATATGGATGCTCATCTTTGGAAATAAACCTTTGTCCGGACAGCTGAATTTTACATCCAGCACACAAAAAGCATTCTTTATGCCAGGGCTGGTCATGGTAGGTCACTCCCCCAGAAGTTATAATCTAATGCATTAACAAAAAGCAAACCACAATCGAACAGTCATGAATCATGAACTGTTGAGCCTGTCCTTGTTTCAGCAGTTCAGGAATCTATTAAGATGCAATCTAAATGAAGGATTAGTTAAGGTATTAGCTGTTGTTGTTGTTTTTTCCTTTTCTGATGCACACAAGCAAAGAGAGAGAGTGTGGTCATCTTGATTTTCTTCATCTGGAATATCAACTTTGATCTACTCCAATGGAGCTCCACATGCTACTGTTTTGTTATTTTAGATTTTACTTCAAAATAACTTCACTATTTGTGGTAAACAGAATAATTTGTTAAGAAGTTCTTATATTACACATGTGTAGAAAAGCTTATCATCAGGTATGGTCTCAGAAGAACAGTTTCTCTATGATGGACAGTGGATGACATAATAGATGTTGAGATTAGGAATAATTTCATGTTGGAACCGGCAATTTGCTGTCTCAAATCTGAAACTGAATCCTATTCTAAGAAAGAGGAAGTAGATAAGCTGAAGTGAAGTGAGACAGGAAGGAGATCTAAGCTGTCAGAAGGAGAGAGACTTATCAAGGTCATCAAATATCTCATTCCCTGCATTTCAGAGCTCTTCACTTCTTCTTTCTAAGGAATAAAATTTCCAAATGCTCTATCTATGTGTGGGGAAAACTATGTTTCATAGAGTTTATGAGAGAATGTCTAGAGAAAGTCCATCTGGAAACAGAGGAGTTGTAACATGATGTTTTCACTGTCAAGTCATGTATGGCCTGATATTCAAGAATGCATAGTTGGAATAGGATGAGATAAAGTTGGAGAAACCTGTATAAGTAAAATCAGAGGAACCATAGAATTTCCCTGGGAAATACAGTTTCAGAGAGATAAAGAATAAATAATACTGGATGATGTCAGTCAATAAAGATCTTAAATGGTTCCCAGTATCCTTGGTATTCGAGAACTGATCTGCTTCTAACCCTTATTTGCCTTTACAACATCGCAAAATCTGAAATGTTTATTCTCTGACACCAGATTTGGGACTCCAGTTTTGGAATTTAATCTCTTCAGGTTCAGTTCTAATGTATGGGAACTGATGAAAGTTTACATAACAAAATTGTTTCCGTTTGTTAAGCATGAGGTCTATTTGGAGTCCTAGAGTTTTTGAGAAACAAATCCTGATCAATTTGCTTAAATGTTGCTGACCTCAGTTCCTCTAATACATATAGAGCAGAATGGCTGTGTTTGTCATGTGATCATTTAGTGCAAATTGAAGGCTAGATGTAGAAATACTGGGACATTTAGAAGTACTTTCTAAAGGCCAATTATTGGAGGAAAAAGCATAACCAGTAAATTTTGCCTAAATTAAAAACTTTTGTTAAAGGTAGAGGTTTATAGTTAAATACAGCAGTACCTTGATAAATGCATTTATTTGAAGTATAATCAGGCTTATATCAATATTAATTATAAGTGGGCAGTAAACACTGCCATTCTTAGCTTTTGATGTCCAACTTAGACGTCAAAAGCAAAGCTGCCCTACCTGCTTATACTGCTGATTCACCAGGCAATTTAGGTGATCCATCCCCATTTCACAAGCAATATTGCATAGTTAGGGAGAACAGGAATCTATGCCGGGCACATAAAGTCAGAGAGTGCAACTTTTCCCCATTGCACGCTGCCTGCAGTGCTAGCAGATACTATAGCACTCTTGCCAACAGACCTGGACTCCCAGATTTTACAGGTATCTCAGATAATTGAACAAGTTACTTAGTGTCTCCAGATCTCCAGGCTTAGCCATATGACTTGGGCCAGACTGGGAAGTTTAAGTTCCCTGCCTTCTCGCAGGTTCTTTCTCAAGCATTTTGAGAGACTACAGGCTTTTTATTTAAATATCTATCTGAAATACATTAAAACAGGTAGTACAAATATCTGTTACAGAGAATAAGCAACAACCAGGCACTTCTGAAAAGCTGCAGTCAGTAGTTACAAATAGATACTATATATTCTGTAGATTTAGGTAACACATGAAGTCTGTTTATTTCAGAATCATGTTATCTATCTTGCTCATTATCTGCTTTTAGAAAAATATTTAAGCCACTGAAAATTGTATATTTACAAGAAAAAAAAAAAAAAGGATTAACAATAGAAGAAGTCATAACCAATCAATGGAAAAAAGTTAATTATGCTCTTAACTTTTTTTACTTTATTAAACCTTATTAAGCTCACGGTCTGAAATTTTGTTCAGCTTTGTGACCTGTCCTCACAAACTCTAACATGTAACTGCATCTTTTATCGATGACCTTTCTCCAGACTATCTGCAAAGAACAAATTGAGGAATTCATGTCCTCTGTTGATATTCTCTTTATTTTCTGCTCCTTGATGAAGACCTAGATTTTAAGCCTCTAGTTAAGAATAGTAGTATGGATTTGCAGAGGTTATTGGAAGTATGTACTCTAAATATTACAGAAAGAGTCCTCATCATTGGCACCATTTTTGCTGTTGACAACTTGGCTTTGACTTGAATAAATATAACATGGTAGCACTTGGAAATGCTTTAATTTTTCCAATGTATGTTTAATTACCTTTTTGCAAGAGTAGCAATGGTGAGCAAACTGCTTCTCATAACAGGGAACGCAGTAATTCTCATTGTCTTTGGTGATCAATGGTTTTGTTCCCAGTGGTTGCCTACAATGCTGGCAAACAAAACAGGATTCATGCCAGGAGCTTCCTTTAAATTCCATTTTGCGAGAACCTGCAGAAACCAAGCAAACAATGCCCTCAAATATAGCTTTGTAATATGTTTTATAAGGAGAGAAGACTCTTGTTTTTAATCTTATATCTTAATACTGATGGTATCGATCAAGAAAGCACTTACTTAAGCTCAACTTATTTGAATTTCTAAACATGTTCTTAACTGCAAGAATACATGTAATGTATATGCTCACATATGTTAATGTTGTGTTAATATGTTAAATATGTTAATGTTATGTTAATATGTTAAATATGTTAACATTATGTTAACATATTAACATTATATGTTAACATATTAACATTAACATATATTAATATGTTAAATATGTTAATATGCTCGTGTTAATTGGCCTGAGATGTGATTTTGAAGACTTAATTATATGTATGTTTTAGGATAACTTTTTTGTGATATGCTTTGCTGGCCAGTTTCTTTCTGGCCAGTGACAATGTTCAGGTACCCAGCACTTCTAAAAATTAAGGATGAATTTACTTAGATGGTAGGTATATCTATTAGTCTCTTGTCTCGTGCCTTCCTTAAATTACATCTCCTTCATCTATAAATGCATTATTTATCTTATTCATCTTAAGATGACATCTTTTTAAGAAAATACCTTCTGCAACAAAACAGACTGCACTTCCTCCTCTCACAGTTCATCATTTCCATTCTAGATGTGCAATTCTTTTGTATCCTACTCAACTGGATGTTTTGTGCCGTTGTTAAGTCAGATGCAATCTCAAAAGGAAGTCACTTAGTTAAATGCCTGCTCGAGGAGGTGCAGAACTCTTGTGCTTTTTATACGGGTGCACAGTGCACTTTAGAGACGTGTAAGATATCTTTGATTCTTTCAGTGACTCTCACTACAGATGTTTTCCTCGCTGGTAGCATCATACTACAGTGGAGGTAGGTAGGTGCTATACAATCCTTTCCACAGGAAAAAAAAGATAATTGTTAGTACAAGTGATTAATGCAGGAACACCTGCTTCCTGGACTGTGGGGTTAGAGATAATATAATATTGCAAAAACTGTGTTACAGTGCTATTCCGGTCACATCTAGTAAGGCACATCCATTAGATAACACTTGTTTAACTGAATCAAAACTAAGCAATATATCACCCCTGAACTAAACGCAATCATATTGCAACAACATCTGTCTGCGTTGAAAATGAAAAGGAAATAAACTGTGCAAGCTCGTAACTGCGTCAACAGTGTGGGTTGGGCAGTACATCAGTAACTTGTATTTATGCTGAGACAATAATTCCATGCAGACCAGACCTTATTGTTTGGCACAAAGATCTACTGGAAAATAAACTTCCTATGTTGTTGCTACATTTACTGATGTCCTTGGCTACAGGTTTGCAAATTAATGGTTATGAGGCCGTGGCAGACAGTTTGCAGCTGGTAGTTCCAACGGTTTAGTTAATGAATTGGCTAGCTCCTTAAAGGGATCTGTTAAAAAAAAAGGTAGTTCACAGTTTCAAATGTTTGGGACCCACTTGCCTAGAACAACGACTTTATTTTGTGCATTTATTTGCTATCATTTCCCTCGAATGGCTCTGAAGAGGAAGCTTTTGGGCAGCTTCTCTGCTGCATTACCTTTGCTGATGTGGAGACAATGAAAGTGCTAGAAGATGTCCTGAACAGAGAGGATGTAAAGCTGATGAGCAGTTCAGTGAAAAGTTGAAAAGTGGGTTTCTTTAGTTTTTTTTTTCCCTCTCTCTCATTGCTTATGGCAAGAAATAATCCTATCATAAACACATCTTTTTTAGCAAAAAATGTTGATAATGATTTGAACACAGAATGTCATATTTTGACAATCAAAGCAAAAAATATTTCTGAGCAAAAGAAATGGTTTATAAAGAATGCAAGACAGGTGCGATGCTCAAAATCTGGACAAGGTGACAGACAAAATACAGATGTCATCTAGTCTGGCACGATAGCTCTGATCGTCTACCTACACTGACAGCAGGATATGCTTCCTAAAAACTGCAAGCAGAATGAAGAATTCAACACCAACATGTTTTACTGCTTTTTAACAGTAAACTCTAAAATATTCTTTGTAAGACTTTGTAAGCCCCATCAATGCTGGACCTGAGATACCCACCTTCCCTCCATTTACTGCTAGGAAAGATTTTAGGCATTCCATTTAACACCTGAAGGAGAAGTAGTCACCCAAAAACTGCTCTGAATGTCAAGGACATTGTAGCTTGGCTATTCAAGGATGAGCTTTTAATTAAAAATGCATTTTCATTTTTCACTACAGGGTCCCTGGAGCTTTACCTGGCATGATAGTCCTCTGGCAGTGGAAACACTTAGATGAGTACTCATCCGAGTAGCATCCAGTACAGAGCAAGAGCTCATCCTTGGCCGCGAACGGCTTCTCCACCAGCGAGCGGTTGCATTTGGCACACTTGAAGCACACCTCGTGCCAGTGACGGCCCTTGTAGGCCAAGTCCTTGGAAAAAGCAAGGCCATGTTAGTAAAGGTATTTCTTAACTGTGTTCCTTCCCCCCAGGATTCTCCTAGGGAAAAAAAAAAAGCAAAATGAAGAGCACTTGCCCAACAACTGGAGCATTTACATGTGGATATGGCAGAAAGTGTGGTCAAAGATTAGCACTCAAAGTTGCTGGGTCAGGAAATGTTGTAGATCTCTTATATAAGACATGCCCTGGCACAGGCACCTGCCTTCTTGGATTTAAGAGCAGAGACAGGTTTTTGTTTTTGTATCTCTCATATCCCTCATCATTTTATATCTCAAAGTTGGCCTTCAAGGGGAAATGAATAGTTAAGCTTTTTTTAATGTGCACAGACTGTCCTTCTGAAGAGAACTTCATGTATTATTTTAAATCTCTTTTTCTTCCAGTTGACTCCACAGACAACTAAAAGAAGGTCATACAATTGCAGAGAACAAGCATTTAAAACCTCATTATTTGAGAAAGAAATGATTCTTATGAAGATTATTTAAAAAAACATTGCTTTTGTTTACACCTAATATAACTCCCCATAAAAAATTGGCAGGAAGCTGTTTGCTTAAGACTCAGCAGGTTTAAGGGCCAAGAAAGCTAAGTGTATGTACGAGACCTCCACTAAGAATTCAAAAAAGAGCAAATAGCAGATTTTATTTTTCCAAGGGGAAAAATGCACATCATCACCACCAGAGGGAAAAAAAAAAGGCATAAAAAGCTCTTAAAAATAAACCAGACCCTTCCAGATCGTCTTTATAAATAAAGAATGAAGCACAGAAGGGCATAAATCCAATTTAATTTCTCTGCTTTGTCAGTATCCCTCCTTTTAAAGTATTGAAACAAGAAGTGCAGTAAATACCAGGCTGCAGGAGGCACCGAGCACTTACCACTTTTGTTTGCTTTATTTAGTAATTTTTAAAAAACAGGATATCACCACAGAAGTGGGAAGAAGGGGAGGAAGAGAGCAAAGCTCTTTTGCTATCTTTGGTGCTGAAAGGGATCCACTGATAGATCTCTGAGCCATTTTTCTAGCTGGCCCTGGCCTGATGTACCCCTCTCATATTACTCCTGCAGTATTTTTGTCCCAATTTTTCCTTCCGCTTTATTGAAAGACATATTTTTTTTTTTTTTATTAATGATTGCAGGTCTTGCCACTTAATTTTAAATTTTAAAAGTGCAATTAGTCAGCTTCTCCAGCGTATGTTCTCCAGATGAACGTGTCTGGGGCTACCTACACAAGTGCTGTTGAAATGGTTTGTCAAGTGTTTCAGAGCAATTTTCATTCAAATCAGTATTTTTCCTTGCAGATTCCTTTCAATCCTGAGCTGTGCGCACAGCATGTGCTTGGAGAACCATGAGGTGCCTTGGCTGGAAAGACTTCCTGAGAGGTTTATTTTAATAACTTTATGACCTTTTATTCCAAATGAACAGAGGCAAAGCAAGCATGGGGAGAGGGCACATACTGAACTCAGTAAAACAAAGGTGTTTGTACAGTATTCATTTGAATGTAAAATTCAAAGTCATATGTACAGACTCTATATTGAAGTAAAGGGTGAGCAAAACCCTGACAGAGGAATTTATATTAATATTTAATCTTCTTAAAAAAGAGAGAAATGAAAGTAAGGCCCAGAAAGACCACCACTAACACGTCACCTACAAGACAAGCAAGGTAAACAAGAAATTAAATTAGAATTAACTCCCTCTATTCAGTGAAATCCGTCCTTCACAATCACAGATGAGAGAACAGCCAGAGACCACAAATACCTTGCCTCTTTAGGAGCTAAACACCACACAGTGATTAGGTTTTCAGCTGCAGGTTCTTAGTGGGACCTGGAAATGGCCAGTTACAGTCAAGAGGTAATGGTACCCTGGCGCTACAGAAATATCTACATACATAACACCGGGCCACAGGAAGTTACTTATTTTCACTCATGATTTTCACCAGTGCATCCTTTCCTGAGATCAATGCTAAGATGATCCTTCTATACAATAAAGAAGATTCAAAAGAACACAAATTCCAACTACTTCCCAAAGGGGTGTGATGTTTATCACATTGAATCTGGGCCTATCTGACCTTGAAGCCAGATCTCCCACACCAAAATGGGTTTCTTCAATAAGGACATGTCAGGCTATTTCCTTGGCTTTCACTGAAGAATATTTAATTCCATTGAAGTTCAGAAGACAGTGCCCAGAGAGACAGAAGGAGGATCCTGCACCCGGGAAGGAATAACCCCAAGCACCAATACAGAGTAGAGGTTGACCTGCTGGAAAGAAGCTCCAGAACGGGACCTGGGAGTCTTGGTTGACACCATGTTAACCATGAGGCAGTAGTGCCCTTGTGGTCAAGAAGGCCAATGGGATCCTGGCCAGAATTAGGAGAGTGCTGTCAGGTGGTAGAGTTGTTAGCACCAGAGCGTGCTGGTTGAGGGAGGGGATCTTGTTCCTCTCCTCAGCTCTGGTGAGGCTGCACCTGGAGTATTGGGTGCCGTTCTGGGTTCCCCAGTACAAGAGGGATGTGGAGCTTCTAGAGAGGGTCTGGCAGAGGGCAACAAAGAGTTTCTAAAGAGGATCCAGCGGGGGGCAGCAAAGATGATTAAGGGAGAGGAGCATCTGTCTTATGAGGAAAGATTAAGCGAGCTGGGCCTGTTTAGCCTAGAGAGGGGATCTGATCTAGATCCCCTAGAGAAGGGATCTGATCCATATGTATAAATACCTGAGGGGAGAATGGAGGGAGGAGGGGCCAAATTCTTCTCAGTGGTGGTCAGTGACAGGACAAAGGGCAGTGGGTATAAGTTGAGACACAGGAAGTTTTATCTCCAGGTGAGGAAGAACTTCTTTACTTTGAAGATGACAGAGCCCTGGGACAGGCTGCCCAGGGCGGTTGTGGAGTCTCCTCTGGAGGTCTTCAAAACCTGCCTGGATGCCTCCCTGTGCCCCATGCTCTGGGTGTCCCTGCTGGAGCAGGTTGGACTAGATCATCTCTAGGGATCCCATCCAACCTCAACTGTTCTGTGATTCTGTGAAGGAGAGTCGAGACAGAGCCCCACAGGCACAACAGGTAGGGTATTGCGCATGTGAACAAGTAGGAATACTTGATTGAACTTAAGCAAAGCATTAAGTTCATAGGCTGTAAAATTCCTCTAGCCTATATTTTTTTAATACAATGGGGAGACATAAAAGGCAGAATTTGAAAACACATCCATGTATGTCACTGAATGAAATTCAAAGAGTGTAACAAGCTTAATGAAAACTTTCTGAACTAGCAATTGGGAGATGTGTTGAAGCAGATTTTTTAAAGTATGCTTAGAGAATCTGGGGGACCCTGAGGCAAATAAGCCTAGGAATTATGTTGTGTAACAATTGTGTCAGGACTTGAACATAAGCTATGGATCTCTGATAATCACAGGGTTTATGTAAATTCTGTATTCTCAAGCAGATGAGCGTGCAATGAATGCCAAATACTACAAGCATATGTTTTAAGAAGTCCTCTGTCTCACACCTGATCAGGCATAGAAATCTGAAATACTTAGAAGTACTAGTTCTGTTTTTTCCATAGTACATCAGTAACCCATCTACAGGTAAGGATTTTGCGGTCTTTGCAGCTAGGAAGTAAGTGGAGATGAAGGATGAAATCCAGCACGTAAATCAAAACCGATATGTAGTTTTCATCCTATATTTGTGTTTATCAAGTGCACATAAGTGCCAATTCCCCAGTGTTTGTCTCTGAGCTTTTCTATCCCAAGTAAGAACTGACTGTTTCTCCCTGCTGAGAATGGTTACACATCGGCACAATGGCTGTGCTTGGGTCTCTTCACCAAAACAGGAATAATACAGACCCTGTCATTCAAGAAATGGGATTTATTTGTAATTTAACAAGCAGCAGCAAGACAAAGCTAAGTCCTTACCTTGGAATCACACTCAATAGGTTGCTTGCACTCTTCACAGGAGTTGGCAAACAAGTTGTCGTAACATCTAACACAATATGCATTTTCTTCCCTTAACGCGTATTTCCTTCCCCGAAGAGACTGCAGGCAGTAATGACAGTCTGTGTGGTTACTAGTCATTCTGGTGGGCTTCTACTTGTGATCTGGAAAAATGGAAAAATCATGTAATTCAATGGATGACTGTCATGCTATCTGTAGTTAAAGGAGTAAATAGTAAAATAGTAAATAACTATAGTAAAATAGTAAAATAACCCAGAGGGGAAAAAACAATGGGCTTTAGTTAGTTGATTTTATTCACCAGTGCAAGATATTTGCAATAACCATGTCTACCATTTACTGGCATGATTGTTATAGGAACTGGCTGATCAATCAGTAAACAGGAATTAGCAATTAGCACAACTAAATGAAGTTCACTTCCTGCCCCAGAAAAAGAAATACAAAAAAAGAAAGGTAAAATAAAATAAAATAAAATAACTGTAGTGGTACAGGAGATTCTCAACCTCGTGAGGAGTTTAGTCTTAGCCTAGCATCCCAGGTTCAGGTGAGTGAGTGGGTGCTTACAGAGCATCCAGCCAGAGCAGCTGGTCAAGCGTTGATCCTGATCCCTACTCAACTCGTTACTGCAAGATTGTTTTTAATACCCTTAGGAAAGGAATATGTGGCTGTGCTAAGGTCATTATTACAAAACATTTTTTGTAATGCTCCCCAACAATGGGGAGCAAGAAGGTTGCTTCATCTTAGTACAGTGCTACTTACACTGATAATGTGGTACCTGAAATGAAGTTGTCTTCACATTCTCTGTAAACAGTTTACTGAAATCTATCAGTATGAGCATTATATAATGGCTTGCAAGGAACAGCTTATTCAGAAGTCAGTGAATGAAGATTACAGTGGATATGTAACAGACATTATAGTTTAAAAATAAAAGAGTAGAGTTAAAAGGCTAGTTAAAATTTTTTAGTGGGTTCCTGTCTTTCCTTTGCCATTCCTGTCTTTCTGCTCATTCCTTTCTTTACAAAAAGCTCCCACCTCTATCTGAACATCCAGGAGGAAGACAGAGGAATACTAGCTGTATATCAGCTTTCTCATGATAATTCCCATTATAAAGCTAATATTTGGTAGCAATGTAAGGTGATGCAAAGAGCCCTGGATAGTGAAAGAGCAAAATGTAAAAAAACGTAAAGAGAAATAAACTAACAAAATGTAAACAAAATCCTAACTCAAAGCAAGCCTGCTTTTTTGTCATGTTGAAAATAATTGTTTTTTTTTTTTTTTTTTTTTGCCAGGTTCCACCCTGACAGTGGCAAAATACTGAGAAATAAATGATATTTCTGTGCCAGCCAAATGCAGGAAATACCACAAATCTATTGAGAGCCAATTATATGTTTCTCATCCATCTTTTTTTTTTTCCAGGCTACAGAAGCTTGGCTAAGCACCCAAATTTCAGCTGCTTATATGTCTGCAATGCTGAACATTTTAAGTATTGTGGAGATGGAGACTTATTTCAACCTTGTTGCTGGTTCACTCATCAGCACTTTGCTAAAATTGGGTCTTGGTTCCTGGGAATGGAGAAAGAAGAATCCAGAAAGTTCCTGGAGAAGCAAACCCAGAAACATCTGCTGGAGTCATCGGACTGCAATCTTCATTAAAGTCATCAAATTAATCACTGCAATCAGTGCCAGAAATCATAAATTTTAGAGGACTTAAGAAAAAATGCTGAAAGTCTCATAAAATATTTACAGAGCAGTGACTCTTTAGCTGAAATTTTTGCACTTTAAAAATGGTGCAAGTCAGTTTATCTTAACTAGATACTAAGAATGAAAATAAGGAATAAAAGCATACGAGGAACGAGCACTGAGAGAGCACTTATCATCACGGAGCTTACAGTTGGCCTGTTTAAAAGTACTCACTCAACTACTTATTTTTATACTTTAATGGTCCATCACATAACCACAATTAAGCTTTAAAGAGGCATTTGGCTTTTTCAGAATTTCTACTCTGTGAACCCAAGATGTAATCCAAAATGATAATTTAAACTGTGGGAAAGAACCACTGCTGCAGATTTCCACTAGCACAGATGTCTAAGGCCAAGAATTTTTAATCAGTTCCTGGAGGGTCTGTGGTGAAACACTGTGAAAAAGGAACAGGTAGAGAGACCAGCATGCTTATCTAAGACCCGGAGTAATAAACATTTGGCACAAGCTATGTAAAGCTTCTTGTTTCTGTAAAGTGAAGTTCTTTAGGGTTGAATTGATTTACTATTTTTTTTCCAGTTGCCCTAAATCTTTGTGCTGGACAAGACAGGGTGCAGTAAAGAAGTCAAATAATCTGCAACTCAGATCAATAGAAAGCATGTACTTACTTCGAAATATTGCAAGCGCATGTTATGTCCTAGCCTTGGGATAATAGTGCTTGGGTCTGGACTTGCATCTCTTCAGTACCAGGGATGTGAATGCACAAAGAATGAATCTATGAGTAAATGACATCCATCATGTGTGTTTACATGATGTGACATATGAAAAAGTGCAGGAGCTCAGTGCAAGAGTATACCACAGTTATCACCAATATCAAGGTTAACTTTTGCTCATTTTTTTCTATAATGATGAAGCAGTATAAATGGGTGGTTAGGGAGGCAGGCAGGAATGAATATCTCTTGTCATCTGGGCTCCATATGCAAGGCCTTGAAACTGGATTCAATAGGAACTTTAGTTTCTCTATCTCTCTCTCTTTTTTTTTTTCTTTTGTGTGTGTGGAAATTATGGCTTTAAATGGCCCTCTCTGAGGATAACCCTGACTGGACTGATCTGCAGAGTTCCTCCTTGCTGAACTGATATCTCAGCTTTCTGAAGAAGTTCTATTGCAATTTAACAGTAGTACCAGAAAAATACTGACAGAGCATGCATGAAGAACTTCTTTGCTTATGCTTATAGATTTTTAGCACAAAGCTCACCAGCAAAGGACTTCAGACATCTGCAGATGCACCTCTGTTTGTTCATTCTAGTGAATGCAATAAGTTATTAAGCTATTGAAAAGAAAATTTGGCATTCACGACATATTTCTTCAAGAAGTAGTTCCCTTTGTATTTCTGCTTCTTTGGACAAATCTGTTCCAGAAAGTCTGGGTTATGTACTCATATGAGACATGCTATTGCAATACCCGATAAATTCATAATCTTGAATAAGGTTCTCCAAAAAAATCCAGATGGTAATAAAGTGCTTTACTTCTGTTTTAGAGCTGAGAACAGTTGCTGGAGAACATTAAAAGTGAGGATCCACAGGACCAGAGTTGAGGGGGAAACCTGCTCTTCTACCAAAGCACTTGAGTTCTATGAGGCTCTTTTTCAGAAAAAGTGTTCAGACTTTGGCCATGATGAAATAAGACCATGTTTGGGAATGAAGCAGAGATGGCATGCAAAAGAATGAGGTTTTCAAATTTCTTGGCAAAGATTCAGGTAATCTTTGTGAACTACTTTTACTGCTAGACAACAAAACAAGTGAATCATGTCTCTCCCAGCACCATTTACCCTTGTCCCAATAAATAAATAATATTACGAGCAACTTGCAGTCAAGTAGAATATTTTTCCTGTGTTTTGATCCTAATCTCTGGAGAAATATGTTTACTTTAAGTTTTCTGGAAGCCAGACTTTGTGTTTTAGAGGTCAGTTGGGAAATCTCTGGGGATCTAAGGCTATTCACTCTCATGGAATGAAACGCTGACTCCAGCATCCCAGCTGCTAGCATATGTCCTGGGCAAAAGGAAACACTCAGACTCCTGCATTCCTTGGGAAAAGCTTTAGTTATCTAAACTGGAGCAAGGGTAATGTACAGTTGATTTTAATGTGCGTAGTAAGCACAGATACGTGATTCGTAGGTTGTCAGAATCCAATATCTTTCACCAAAGGGTGAAGAGGGAGGTTGCCAAGGCCGTGAGGATGCTGCACTGATGTCCCTGGGGTCAGACTGGAGAATTCAGTAGTCTCAGCATATAAATTATGGAGGAGATGAAAATAAAGCAATGGAGAACTGTTTTTTCTGCCTGCGGTTCCAGCAGAGCAAGATGGAACACAGCTAGTGCTAAGTAGGAGAGGGACCTGCTCTGGAGTCAAATTCTTTCCTCTAAGATGTAGAATGCTAAAAGGCTTCCAGAGGAAATCCATAAGAAAATGATTGTGACGTCTATCCAAACCTGACAAATGTGGAACCAAGAGCAAAGCAATGCTTGTTTGCTCTCTGTAGTTAAAAAGCACAGCTGCTATCTCTCTCTTAATAAATTCTCTTGATGTGATTTCTATAAATGCATGTTGATCCCTTTCACATTATATAAATATACAAAGCCTAGAAATATTAATTTTATTGAGATGGAATTAATAGACATGTATATGTACACCCATTATACATATTTATATGCACATGTAAAAATATGTCTTTTGGTTTATAGTCTTCTCATGGACTATTTCCTGATCTAAATAAGCCTGCCATGAACTACCTCATCTTTTTCCTTAAGAACATGTGATAAATGGAACAAGGCTCTCCATTAGACTCTGAAACAGGCGTAATGAAAGAAAAAGTGATAGCCAAATAAATCATTGCAATAGCACTGAAAGAGAAGAAAAACAAATCGATCTATTATGAGGGGCACACCCCTGTAAGCCACCCCAGGCAGTTGCTTATTTTCAGTTAAATATGTTTTCTCCTCTGAACATAGCTTTGCTCATTTGCATGAATTTGCTGATTTGATTTTCCCTATTCCATGTTTTTGGTGAAAGCTGCTGAACTATTCATCAGAAATACATTTGCAAAATACATTAGTGACGCAAGGTTAGAACTGCATTCTACAGAGAGCAGTATCATTATTTTATAAATAAAAGTTTCTAAGAATGCTCTGCAAGGAAATCTTTCTCATTTCAGAGATCACTGTTTCTTTCTTTTTTTCTTTTTTTTTTTCCCCTCTGCTGTCCTCTGAAAATCTGTTATTTTATAGACCTAATAAGGGGGGAGAAAAAAAACAATGGAACATTAAAGTGTTTGCTACATTTTCAAAATCCTGGCACCATTCTTGCAAGCATTTGGGTGGGTACAGAAATCTCACTAATAAAATTCTGATTTTAAGTAGCCAGGAAACCATACTTACTGAGACTGGGATA